CCCTCCAAACCCTGAGCCTCCTCCCCAAATCAGGTCCAAAAGAGGAATTACCGCCAGGAGAAGAAGCGCGCCACGCAGCAGCTGTTCAGCGCCCTGAAGGACCCCAGCGTGGTCATCATGGCTGACTGGCTGAAGGTACAGGACTTCAGACGTCGGCCGCAGGGTCTTAGGGCCAAGAGCTGGAAGACCCTTCGAGGTCCCACCTCAACCAAGCCCTCATTTGATAGAGGAGAAAGCTGAGCTGGCCACTGCCCTCTGTCAGGAGAGATGGGAATGTGTATGCGTGTGTGTATATGTACAGTGCGTGTTCTGTGCATGAATACATGCATTGCTAAATCTAAAGACATCCTTGCAAGGAGGCGCTGGCGCCAGGGGTCAGAAAGGGCCTGGTGCACCCGTATCTTTGGAGGAAGTGAGCAGTTCCAGGAGGCGGAGGGGAGGGAGGGGAGGGAGGGGAGGGAGGGGAGGGAGGGGAGGGAGCGGCAGGCCGGGCGTGGCCGGAGCCTGCAGCGCAGCCCAGAGATGAGGGATGGAGAGTCATGTATGAGGAACAGCCAGGAGGCCAGGCTGGTGCCCCGCTGCAGCTAGTGAAGGGGAGATGAGTCAGGAAGGCCCCAGGGCGGCTCCGAGGCTGCCCCTCCCTGCTCTGCATCACCAACCCCAGGGACACCCAGACCACGGGCTCCTCTTCCCCCGTGGTCACTGTGGCGCTCAGGTGGAGGCTATCCAAGGCCAGGACGCCGCCTGGGGCCCCAGCCCGTGAGGATGAGGCAGATGAGTCCTTCTAATGGGCTGGAGCATGGGAACCTTCCGGGGACAGCCCCCAGGCCGGGCTGCCTCAGTCCACTGGGACCAGGAAATCCAGCCAGATGCTGGGTGCCACTAGATTGTCATTTGAAACAGAATGGGCGCTGTCTACTCTGGGAAAGGGGAGAGAAGGGGGTGGCATTCAGGGAGGGGAACGATCCCCACCTGAAATGAGGCATGCTGCCAGAATCCGGGGGACGATGGGGATGGGCACGGGGGCCATGCTCTCCAGCCTGCCAGTTCGTCAAACAACAATCCAGATAACTGGGCATTCTGCCTGGCATGCAAGGGGCAGTAGGAAAGAATCAGGCTTAACCCTGTAGCCAACCCAAGGCGAAGGCTGTTCCTGGCTGAGGGCAGCAGGGAAGGCTCCCTGGAGGTGGCATCAGAGCTGGACTGTAACTCGGGAGTAGGCATTAACAAGGGGAAGGGGGAAGGAGGAGGGCAGTTCGAGGCACAAGGGGCACCATGAACCTTGGCTGCATCTGGGGGATTGGTCAGAGACACTCCATTTGGTGGCGACGGGGGTCTCTAGAGGCAGATAACCATCGGTAAGGCTGGATGGCAGCAGGCTGTGGAGGGCTCTGCGGGCAGGCAGGAGAGCAAAACTCTCCTTGGGAGGTGATAGGGAACCACCCGAGACATGAACTGACCTAGGTATAAAAAAAGCCCATCCACACATTTGCCAAGCATTCATTAAGCACCTACTGTGTGCCGGGCCCAGAAAGGTGACCTGGGCCTGCCCTCAAAGAGATCCCATTCTATTGGGAGGGACACAACATGGGCACAAGTAATTCAGAACCAGGGCAGGTTCTGGTGGGAGTGAGCTCCCCACTCCGAGCCTCAGCCTCCTAGTCTGTGAAATGGGGATGATAGCGGGGGTCGCTCTGACCCTCTCCCTTCTCCCCTGGCCTAGATCCGGGGCACCCTGAAGAGCTGGACCAAGCTGTGGTGCATCCTGAAGCCGGGCGTGCTGCTGGTGTACAAGACGCCCAAGGTGGGCCAGTGGGTGGGCACCATCCTGCTGCACTCCTGCGAGCTCATCGAGAGGCCCTCCAAGAAGGATGGCTTCTGCTTCAAGCTGTTTCACCCCCTGGACCAGTCCATCTGGGCCATGAAGGTAAGGTCCTGAGGGGGACCCGGAGAGGGGCAAAGCCCTGAAGGCAGCTTCCAAAGAGGCCAAGCAGGGGGCAGCGAGGGGGCTCTGTGAGGGAGGGGGCAGTGAGGTGGTGCTGTGGAAAAGGGGGCAGCGAGGTGGCGCAGTGGATAGAGCACTGGCCCTGGAGTCAGGAGGACCTGAGTTCAAATCCAGCCTCAGACATTTGACACTTACTGGCTGTGTGACCCTGGGCAAGTCACTTAACCCCGTTGCCTAGCCCAAAGAGGCCAAGCTGAGCTGTCTCCCGCAGGGCAGGCCAGAAGGGAGAGAGGTGGCCAGGGTCTCTGAATCCAGGTCAGATCCCTGGGCATTTGCAAAGTCACTCCACCTGGTACAACTAGCCAAAGGACCTGAAGTACTCACCTGGTCCAGCCCCCTGCCCTGGGGCAGCATGTCAGCTCTTAAAGTCTGGCCAGACGGCAGAGGGCAAAATAATATACAGAAGGGAAGGGGAGAGGGCCCTGGGAGGAGTGGGATGGCCCTGGAATTAGCCAAGAGACCAGGACATTGGACGGTCAGGTATCCTTTTTTCTGTGGGCCTGTTTCCTCATCTGTACAATGGAAGGAATGACCGCAGCCAGCCCTCCAGGGTCTTCCTAAGACTCCAAGGAGAGAATGGCTTTTAAGGCCTTGGGGGGAGGATGCCCTGTTCACTGCACCCCTGGCTGCCCAGGGGTGACTGCCAAGGTCCCTTCCATACCATCGTCCAGCAGACTTTTCCTGAGGATGTGGGCGCCAGACACCCCCAGCTGCCTGCCTCATTGATATTTCCCTGCAGGCAGGAGGTTCAGGAGGCATGGAAGCCTCTGTGCCCTCTCTCTCCCACAAGGCCGAGGGCTCCATCTGATCCTCAGAGGATGGGGGGGCCACCCTAGGCCCCTCAGCTCCTTCACCGTCCACTTGTGTGTCTGCTCCCACAGGGTCCAAAAGGCGAGAACGTGGGCTCCATCACCCAGCCCCTCCCCAGCAGCTACCTGATCTTCAGGGCACCCTCTGAGTCTGATGGTAAGCCTTCTGCCCCACCCACACCTGGCTTCCCTTCTGATCTGAGATGAAATGCTGCCAGCCACACAGGGTCGTGGAGTCAGAAGTGTGCCAACCTGTACCAGAGCAAGAATCCCTCTGTGCCCCAGCCAGGGAGGGCCCCTCCAGCCTCAGCTGGGAGATCCTCAGGCTTCCCCTCCTGGGACACTCAGCCCCTGGCCCACCCAGCAGCCCAGCCCGTTTGGTGAGGGTGCTCTCCCTGGCTCAAGCCTCACTCTGCCTCCCCACAACCATGAGCATTTATTTAGCACCTTTTGTAAACCAGACTGAACACCCCAGCTCCTTCGACTCGGTAGCCAGACAAGACTCTGGACATGATCTAATTCAACCTCATCATTTTGCAGAAAGGGAAACTGAGGCCTAGAGAAGGAGGTAGTTTATTCAGAGATCTCTTGCTCAACTCTCTCTCCAGAACGCAAAGTCAATCAGTCGGTCAACAAGCATTAATTAAATGCCTTCTAAGTCCCAATTGTATGCCAATACAAAAGGGAAACAGTCTTTGCCCTCCCAGGGCTTGCATTCTATCAGCCCCAGGCATGTCGAGCACAGCAGACAGAGGGTCCACGTTCCCTGGGCTGCTGGACCTTTCGATGCAATTTTGAACCTTCTTTCTACAAAGCAATGGGTTCTAGACTGGAGACCCAGAACCCCAGGTCATTTTCTAGGTAGGAGGTAAGAACATGAGGCATGTCAGGATGCCCCACCCCAGGACCTGGATCTCCTAGGAGCCATGACCCCGGTGGTCATCGTCCAAGATATCGCCCTTGCAGGTCACAGACGTACCCAAATACCCTGAGCTCTCCTTGTGGCAGACGCACTATGGCTCCGCCGTCTATGGGGACTTCTTTCTCAGCCTGGCCCCGCTCCCTGGGCTATGAGTCAATCACTCTCCAAGGGAAGCAGCGTGACCTGGAGAAGAGAGCTGGGGGTGTCCCCAGCCCAGCTTCTTGTGCTGACTCTGCATTTATTCACAGGGTGGTCTCGGGGCCTTTTCTTTGCCCCTCAATTTCCTCCCCTGTAATATGACGGAGTGGGATGAGATGGCCTCCAAGGCCCCTCCTGGGAGCCCCCCCCCCATTTCTAGGACCCTGTGGTTTGGGGCCCAAGCCCCCAACCTCCGTGGCTCTGCCTGGGTTTGGCCCCAGCCCCAAAGCGAATAGCTTTGCCCTGCAGGGTTTCCCTTTCTATCCTTGCCCTGCAGCGCCCTCCTGGGGCGGACTGTGAAAGAGCGCGACCATAAGGGAAAAGTGCACGTGCTTAAGGGAAAGTGCAGGATGGCCCTCCCATCAAGCAGTCCCAGGCCCCAGGAGGCCGATTGGGCCCCGTGCCTGGAAGGCTCTCCCTCCTCTGTTCCCACTACTGACCTCCCTGGCTCCCGTAAGGCCCAGCTAAAATCTCACCTGCTACAGGATGTCCTTCCCAACCCTCTTAATTCCAGCGCCTCCCCAGTAATTATTTCCTATTTTTCCTTTCTATAGCTTACTTCACATATATTTGTTTGCCTGTTGTCTTCCCAGTTTGATGGTAAGCTCCTCGAGGGCAGGGCCTGTCTTTTGCCTCTTTTTGTATCCCCAGTGCTCAGCACAGTGCCTGGCACACAGTAGGTGCTTAATAAATGTTGATTGATTGAAAAGCTAGCTCTTTTTCCTTTTGGAAAGCTGGCCTGAGTTGAGTTGAGATTGGTGACTTTTCTAGCTCCATCATAGAGAAAACCATCCCAGGACATTCCCCCAAGCTCTTGGAGTGACGCAGGAACATCAGCAGTCTTGTCCTTCTGAGCCAACCACCAAACTCACTCTCCACAGAAACCAGACCCTGGTTTGGGTTCCCAAGAATGTGCGTCCAACAAGGGCATTGCATGTGGTGGGGGGAGGCAGAGGGCATCTAGGAGCACACCATAAACAGAAGAACCCACAGAGAGAACGCCCTGGCTGCTTCTGAGTGTGACGTTCCAGGATCCCCCATATGAAAATTAGAAGGAACGTTAGAAAGCCCCTAATCCAATGGACCCATCATTGGATGAAGGAGAAAGCTGAGGAGTGAGAGAAAGGAATAAATAAATGATATGATCTTGGAGCTGGCCATTAGACAAAGGACTGATTACCCCTGCTGCTGATGGCATGACCCTGGGCAAGTCATTTAACCACCGTCTGCCTCAGTTTCCTCAGCTGCAAAATGAGGATAATACCACACCTGCTTCTTAGGGTTGTTGTGAGGATCAAAAAAGATAATGTTTATAAAGCGCTTAGAACAGTACCCGGCACATAGTAGGTGCTTAAGAAATGCTTGTTTCAAATGGCTAACAAGGAAATGTTTTACATGATTGCACATGTATAACCTATATCTGATTGTTTTGTGTTAGGGAGGGGGGAAGGGAGGGATAGAATTTGGTACTCAGAACTTCAAATTTTAAAAAAATGTTAAAAAATTGTTTTAATGTTTAATGTTATATATGTGTACACATGTGTAAGTATATACATACATGCACATATGTGTGTACATGTGTGTGTGTGCGTGCTTGTTTCCTTCCTTCCTGGGAGGAAAATACTTTATTTTTGTTTAGCTCATGATGGAAAAAACGTTGATCAACCACTCACTATGTCCAGACAGTATGCTGACAGCTAGGCATACACATACAAATTAAGATGCTCCCTGGCCTCAAAAAGCCTGTATTTGTTTCTTAAATAAACTCCTAATGTTATCTTTTGTTCTTGCATCACCTGCATGTCCCGATGCATCCCTTCTTCTTCCCCTCCCATGGGAAAAGGCTGACCTCGTCTGCAGGGTTTCTGGTCCCTCTCATCTGCAAGGAATTTCACCGCGGTGTCTCCTTGTGTAGCTGTTCTTTTTGGTTACATTGTTGCAGTTGTTATAGACATTGTTTTTTTGGTGCTGCTCCCTTCTCTCTGCATCGGTCCATAGACGTCCTCCCAGGCTTCTCTGTAGTCATATTAATGGTTTCCTACAGCACAGTCATGTAAGCTCCTTGAGGGCAGCAATTGCCTCTTTTTGTGTCCCCAGAGCCAGGCGTATAGTAGGTGCTTAATAAATGTCATTCCATCCATGCACTGTGACTTCTTCAACCATTTCCCGGTCATTGAGCACCAACTGTGCTCCCAGAGGTCCTTCACACCACAAAAAGGGAGGCTATCAATATTTCAGTGTCTCCGGACCCTATGTCTGACATTGACCTCCTTGGGGTATGTACTTAGCAGTGGCATCCCCGGGTCAGTGGGATCACTTTCATTTTTTTAAGACAATGATTTTAATCATTTTTTCTGTGTAATTCCAAATTGCTTTCTTCAGTGGTTAGACCCATCACAGCTCCACCAACAATGAATCAGCATCCCTGTCTTTCCACACTGACTCCCTCCATCATCTACCCTTCCCGTTTTGGGTCGTCTTTGCCAATGCACTAGGTATGGTGAAACCCCAGGGTTGTGTCCCTTTGGATTGTTCTCATGATTAGTTTTCCATATAGTTGCCAATAGTTTGGATTCTTTTTTTTGAGGCCTGCTTGTTCATATTTTTGACCACTGGGGAGCATAATCCCAACCCTAATCCTAAATGTGCTCCCTGTCTTAAATATTCAGTTAATTGCCTGTGTATCTTGTATATCAGACCCTTCTCAGGGATATTTGACACAAAGATTTAGGAAAACATTTTATTAAAACTCCAGCAGGGTAGAAACATGAGGTGTCTTTGTTATTTCTCCCTGCACAGGCCGCTGCTGGCTGGACGCCCTGGAGTTGGCTCTGCGCTGCTCCAGCCTCTTCCGGCTCAGTGCCTCCAAACAGGGGAAGGACGGAGAGCTGACCAGCCAGCTGGACTCCTCCCAGGTGCCTCTGGATGGGCTGCTGCATGGTGGGACCATCTCAGACCAGGATCTCTTTCAGTAAGCCGTGGGCCAGGCAGGACAGGGGAGGACCAGGGCTGGGCTGGACTTGAGACTCATCAAGGGGGCAGAGAGGCCATTGACCACACGATCCTCTCCCTCCCTTCTCTGCATGCCTTTGTGCTTCACTTTACACAAGCACTGTCCCTCTGAATGGTGTGAGAGAATCAAATCCTCTAGTGAAAATGTACAGGGAGAGCATCATCCTTGTGAGTCTGTATTGTGGGTTCTATATTGTGGGTCTGTAACGGTCCACAGAGTGGGTTTGTGTCAAACAAGACTGTGATTCAGCAGCGGCCACTTGTCTTGCCCAAGAACACTCGGCCTTCCCCTCCTGTGCTGATCACTATACTCCCCAACTCCCGGCACATGGGACATCGTCCACTGAGAATCCTGCTTTGGAGGATGTGAGAAACTCAGTTGTGGGCCTCAGATAGCCCAGTCTGTAGTAGAGATCATCTCAGAGAAGCAAGTCAGAGCTCCCTGGGTTCTGACCCTTGCTAGCTGTGTGATCCCGACCAAATCACTTCCCCTCTCTGAACCTTAGTTGTCTCATGTGTAAAGTGGAGATGCTGCCTCACAGAGGCATGATGAGACTTGGGTGAGATGAGGCCTTAAAGACAATGGCAGTTCTGAAGCCTAGCCCAAGCCCACGTGGAGGGGATGAGGACAGGGAGCTGAGTGCTGGAGCTGAATGCCAGAGCTCTTCCCAACACAACCCCTGCCTCCTGGCTGGAGGGGAGAGGGATCACTGAGCCCTTTGTTTGGTTAATGACCAGAGGCATCGAGTGCAGGAACGTCCCAAGGCTCACAGAGCCAGAGGGTTCAGCTTAGCTCAGCTCCACACATTCTTACTGAGTGCCAGTTGAGCCCTGAAGGATGAGGTCAGTGTAGACAGGGATACGGAGGTGGCACAGAGGAGGACAGAAGATCGCGGCACCATAGGGCTGCAAAGGCTGTGAGAAGCCATGGAGTCCGACCTCATTTTACATGGGAACAAACTGAAGCTGACTTTGTTCACTGAGGCCAGGGTCCCCCAGCTAGTATCTGAGGCAGGATCTGAACTTGGGTCTTCAGGACCCAGCACACTCTTCGCTGCACCACTGCAATGGCTCTCTCTCTTGCTGGTGCGTTTCTCCTCCCTCCATCCCTCCAAAGGCTGAACTCAGCCCTCATGCTCAGGTTGGGTCTGCAACGGCTGTTTAAAAGGTTAAGCCTGATCACCTCCTCTGCTTTGTTTTCCCCAAGTCCGGAGGAGAGGAAGGACTTTCTGACCAGAGTGTTGTGCCCCTGGCTCTGGTCTGGGGGTGCAGTGAGGTCATCCCGTCACCCCGCCAGCCACGACTGCTGCGCCTTTGTCTGGGGCATCGTGGCCTGGCCCTCAGGTGATGGAAGGAGCAGTCCGAGTGGCCCAGGTGCTGGCAGTGTGGCCGAGGCCTCTGACCTGGGGTCCCCTGTATGTTTCAGGCTGAACGAGGCCTCCCTGGAAAACCACCAGCTGGAGAATGACGCTTTCTCAGACAGGTCAGAGAAAGACACCATCGAGGAGTCGGAGAACGACACCCGAGAAAACAGCCGGAAAACCAACGACAGTGAGAGCGACCAGTCGGAAACCCCCGGGGAGCTCGGTCAGGAGAAAAAAGGGACGACGTACATCGAGCAGATCTACGAAGAATTCGGGGAGGTAGGAGCCGGGAGCCGGGTCCTGGACCACAGCTGACAGGAAGAGAATGCTAATTTAGAGTGTGCATCATCTCCCTGCGAGGGAAGTGCCGCGGGAGGGGCTGTCCCCATTGTATAGATGAGCAAAGTGAGGGTGATGGAAGCCAAATCCCTGCTCACACACCCCTCTAGGATCAGGAAGCTCAGCCCAAGACGTCCCTGCCTCTGACAGGTCTGGCCCTCTGTCTTGTGCGTTCCCAGCCTCCAGCCTGCCTTTCCAGCCCTCTTACAGCATTATTCCTCCTCTTCCCCAACTACGCAGTCCGGCCAAACTGGCCTCCCTCCTGATCCTCCAACTCCACGCCTGGAATGCCCTCCATCCTCACCCCCCCCCCCCCCACAGTAATCCCTGGCTTCCTTTAAGACAAGCATTGTCTTCTGTGTGAGGTCCTTCCTGACCCCCCTCCCCCCATGTCCTTGTTTCAATGGTGCATACTTATACACACCCATGGCCGACCCCAAAAGAAGACACTCCTGGGGAAGGGGTGGGGGCAGGGACTCTGCTTTTTTTTGTATCCCCAACACCTTGCCACAATAGCACAATAGATGTTGTTGGTTGTTTGATTACTGGCCTCTGATGAAATGAAATCATGAATGTAAAGCATTTCACCAACCTTAAGGCACTATGTGTTAGCTGCCATTATCATTGTCATCATCATTATTATTATTCTCATCTCTTAGATTCTGCCTTTCCTTTATCGTCTGATTTGGGGGTGGGCTTTTCCCATGAGCCAATCAGAGAAGGGACAGTGTTATCCCTCTTTGCCAGAGGAAGGTCACATCCAAGGCCATGAGTAGTAGAGTGGCAGAGCCATCCTACAACCCCCATGCTCTAAACATTGCACCACACTGCCTCCTCTGCCTTCGAGCTTACAGTCTCACTCACTCTGGCCCTCTTGTTTTTATAATTAAATTATTAATTAATTAATTAATTAATTCCTAACCCAGGTGCAAAGCCTACAGATACACACACACACACACGCACACATATGTTCTTATATATATGTGTATATATGTGTGTGAATAGAGCTCTTGGAGGGGGAGTCTATAGTGTCTGTCTATACTAGTTCAAGTCAATGCAACAAGCCTACTAAGTGCGTACTATTAAGGTCGTACTATGTGACAGACACTGGGCTTCTCCCTGGACTTTACAATGTCAGCTGCCCTCTTGTTACAGTGAAGGCTTTCCACTCACATTCTCAAACCCCAGAGAGATTTGGTGTAGGCAGTAAGCTTTTGATCCTGGAAATATATTAGATCAGTCACCCTGGCCTCTCCCACCTAGCACCAATAATAACAGCTGGCATCTACAGAACCCTTGAAGGTTTGCAAAGCACTTCACATGTGTTAGCTCATTTGATCTTCACCACAACCTTGGGAGGTGGGTGCTATTATTATCTCCATTTTACAGGTGGGGAAACAGAGGCACACAGAGGCAATGTGACTTGCCCAGGGTCACACAGCTAGCAGGTGTCTGAGTCAGGATACAGACTCAGGTCTTCCTGACCCAAGGTCCAGGCCTTTATACACTGCACCAGCCTGCAGCCTCCACCATGGACAGCCCTTCCCTGAGGGCTCACCTGCAAAAATTAGGAGGGCATTTCCAGTGCCCTCTTTGGCAAAATCTGCCATTAATACAGCATCCTCTTCCAAGTCCCAGCCCTTTGGCTGAGCTTTTTTCTTGTTTCCTCAGACAGGAGAATCTTCACAGACCGAGACCGTCTCTGATGAAAACAAGAGCCTCATCTGGATCCTGCTGAAACAGCTGCGGCCAGGGATGGACTTGTCCCGAGTGGTGCTTCCCACGTTCATCCTGGAGCCTCGATCCTTCCTCAACAAGCTCTCTGACTACTACTACCACGCAGATCTGCTGTCTCAGTAAGTGTCTGAGCGCGTATGACTGCACAGACATTTACTACGTACCGTCTGTGGGCCAGATGCCATGCTGGATGCTGAGGATGTAGCAACAACACAAACAGTCCTTGGCCTCAGGCAGCTGATATCCACGTCCCAAGTGATAGCTGAGCTGAGCCTTGGAGGAGGGCAGGGGTCCTGGGAGCTGAGTCATGGAGGGAATATGTGTTGGGCAAGTGTGGGGTATGAAGAGTCTTGTGAAGGCACAAAGATAGAAGAAGGTGCGTGGCCTTTGGGCAACCCCAAGGAAGTTAGTGTGCTGGACAAAGAGTTCATGAAGGGCACTAATGTTTGTTGGACTGGGTTGAGAGTAATGTAAAACAAGGGTTGACAGGTAGGTAGGAGCCCAGTTGGGTGGAGAGAGGATGCCAGGGGAGCCTGTTGGGTTTTATCCCAGAGGCAGCGCAGAAGAAGATGGAAGGATGTAATCTGTGATCTGTGTCTTGGGACTGAATGGAGCCTAGAAGGGTTCCAGTCCCAGGAAGCTTGGAGGTCTGTGTGCTTCTGGCCCCAGGCAGCCTTGCCTGAGGACGAGGAAAGCTCCTCTCCGACATGTTTGGAGCTCACGCCATCTTCAGAGAGGCTGGAAGTCTTCAGTCCCAAGAAAAAGCCCTAGAGTCACAGGAGAACCTAGGTTTGAATCTCGGCTCTGCCATTTACTCTTTGTGACCTTGGACAAGTATCTTCCCCAGTCTGGAGAATAATAAAATTAGGGCTAAGTGATCTCTGGGGTCACTCAGGGCTCTAACTCCTGGCAGTCACAAGCTTAGGACGGAATTGTGAAGTGGGGAGGAGTGTTGCCACCTCACTCCAACCTTTCTTGCCCAAGGGGTCATCTGGTGGGTTTAGCAGTTTGCTGTTCTAGCCTTTCAAACTTGGAAGCTCTTGGATGTCAGGTTCTGCAGCTCGTAGACTCTACAGTGTGGCTTTGTGGGGCACACATGCTCTGGAGTATGGTGTGCTAACCTGAGCGTTGGCGGTAAGGCTCAGTCTTAAACCAAGAGTTGGAGTAAAATGTTCTGTATTGGGGACATGAAGAAGGAGGATGGTTTTTGGCATCCAATGATCAGAACCTACTGAGGCAGGGTGAAGGCAAACAAGGAAATGGGAAATGGTTCTCATCCAGCCACTGAGTAGAGGTCCTGGGCCACCCATGAGGTGAAGAACCCATTGTATAATGTATCAGACAGGAGTAACATCTGCAGGCATGGAGAGAAGGCAAGAGATGATGTAGGAAGCATGGGCAATGAGGAGGCCACTGCCAGTCTGTGGGAGGGCTCCTGTCCCCCCCTTCAATGGCCTGTTTGTAGGTGAGGCTGCCTCTGTAGCCACTGGGTACTCACAGCTAGGATGGTAACTCAGAATTAGGATGCCCAGATATTCTAGATGGAGTTGGGCTGGTGATGTTCACGGATCCACAGTTAAGAGCATTAGCGGGGTAAGGGATGCGCCCCTGGGTGAACATGCAAACATCAGAGTACAATAAAGATCTCAGGCAGGAGCAATCAGAAAGTGGACACATAGCCACGTAAGGGGACATGGGAACCTCCCACCACTTTCCACAGCTTTCAAGATGAGGAGAGGTCTGTAGCTAGTCATGGAACATACAACCCCTTCCCCAATCCCTTAGTACCTGGTCAGCACACAGCAAATGCGGGAGTGGAGAGTTCTGTTTTAGTCAGGTCAACAAGCATTTATTAAGCACCTCCTATATCCTGAGCACTATGATAAGGGCTGGAGATACAAAGAAAGGCAGAAGACGTCACCTGTTCTCAAGAAGCTCACATTTTAATGGGGAGACCGTACGCAAACAAATACTTACAAACAAGCTACAGAGCAGATAAAATGGAGGCAATCCCAGAGGGAGGGCCCCAGCATTAAGGGGATCAGGAAAGGCTTCTCCAAGAAGGTGGGATTTGGGCTGGGACTTGAAGGAAGCCTGGGAGCCAGGAGGTGGAGATGAGGAGGGAGAAAGCTGCAGGCTTGGGGACCGGCCAGCGAAAACTCCCAGAGAAGAGAGATGGAGTGTCACATGTAAGTAGCAGCACAGAGGACCATGTCACCAGAGTGCAGAGTATGTGCAGGGGATTAAGGCTGAGGTGAGCTTTAAAGGTAGGGGGGGCTTTAAGAGCCAGAGGACTTTATAGCAATAGGAAAAGGTGAGAGAAATTGACTCTGAAGGTTCAGATCAGTTTAATTAGTCAACAAACATTTATTAATCACCTATGATATGCAGAACCCTGTGCTCGGTGGTGGTGTTGGTGGTGGTGATGTTCTGTCATTTCACTCATGTCTGACTCTTCGTGACCCCATTTGGGGCTTTCTTGGCAAAGATACTGGAGTGGTTTGCCATTTCCTTCTCCAGCTCATCTTACAGATGAGGAAATTGAGGCAGACGGGGTGAAGTGGCTTGTTCAGGGTCACACAGCTAGTGAGTGTCTGAGGCTGGATTTGAACTCAGGAAAATGAGTCTTCCTGACTCTAGCCCATCAATTTATCCACTGTGGCACCACCTAGCTACCCTGTGCTTGGTACTAGGAGAGATCAGAGGTCACGGAACTCAGAGTGGAAGGGGAGGATAAGGCACCAGTATAAAGCACCATGACCCAGTATTGCAGGATCCATTCATTAGAAAGGTACAAACAACTGTATGTGCTCTGAGGGGGAAGGTCCTTACTTGTCTTTAATTATCTGTGTTAGTGTATCTTCCCCATTAGAGTAAAACCTTTCTGAGAGTAAGACCCACTCTACTTTGGCCCTGTTCCAGCCTAGTGCCTTGCTTGCTGGAAGGCTCAATGAATATTTGTTGGGTTAGACTGGACAGAACAGATAAGAAGGTGCCATCATGCTGCAGTGGAAATCACGCTGAACTTACAGTCAGGGGCCTTGGGTTAAAAGACTTGTTGTACCCCTTCCTTCCTGTGCAACCTCAAGCAAGTTCCTTGGCCTCTCTGGGCCTGTTTACTCACTTAGAAAATGAAAGGGTTAGACCAGATTACTTCTGAGCTTCCTTCTAGCTCAGGGTCAAAGGTCCTTTCAGTTAAGCAGACCTTAAATTTGAGCTTTAAATGATGATGAGGTGCTCCACAGAGGAGGGCAGCCATGGAGGCAGGAGAAGGGGAGGTTAAGGAGGGCAGAGAGAGCCATGATCAACTTGGCTGCCCTGTGTGGAGTGGCTGGAGAGGAAGCACAGGATGTAAAGTTGGAAAGGCACAGTGCCAGGTTTCAAAGGGCCTTGGGGACTCCGATTTAATGACCTGCCCAAAGCAAAGCCAATGGATTCACTAGGACTCATGCCTCTCCTCTGCACTAAGTCCCATGGGGCATTGAAGACAGCAGAGAATCCCAGCAGTGAAAGAACCTTGGCCATGACCTGGCCCACCCCCTGGGGCCTGAGCCCTTCTCTGTAGCAGAGGAACTCTTGACTCAGGCCCCAGTTGGACTCAAGGAGCTCCCAGGTCTCTTACAGCTCTGAGACTGTGGGATGTGAGCCCCTGTAGGGCCTTCCTATCCTCCAGCCTCTGCTTGCACACCTTCAACGACAAGCCTCCCAGCCCGTTGTTGGATGGTTATGACAAAGGTCATCCTCTCATGGACCTGGAGTCAGCTTCCAAATTGTCCCTGGTTTAAAAGAAAGGAAAAGATTACAGTCTGCAAAGTATAGGCTAGAGAAAACTGCATCGATCGCTGACAAAATTACAGAGCGTCCTTAAAGGGGCTATCTAGAAAAATAAATGTTGATCGCAAAGAGGTGATCGTGGCTTCCTCAAAAACAGGGTGTGCCATGGGATTGGATTGGTTGACAGAGTTACTGGGCTGGTAGATCAAGGGAAGAGTGTAGACACGGTTCACCAAGATTTCAGCAAGGGTTTATTAAAGTCTCTCCTGCAGTACTTGTGGGAAAGATGGAAAGATGTGAGCTAAATGAGAGTACAATTAAGTAGATTTGGACCTTGCTGAGTGGGCAGCACCCAAGGGTGCATTAGCTGTTTGATGTCCTTGTAGAAGGCTAGGTTGTTGTCCTTTATTCCGAAGAGACCCAAAGTGACATCACTATACTGGAGTCAAGTTACAGTGTGTCCGACTGGGTCTGATCAGACCAATACGAGCTCGGAATGTTCTACCACAGGTCAGGTACATGTAGTCCGTGTGTAGGAAGAGGCCTCCAATGGAGGACCCCAGGGATCTGTGCTGGACCACTGATCTTAGAGCCGGAAGGTACCTCAAAGGCTCCTAAACTCAACCTATTCGAACACGAATCCCCTCACCCTCAGCTCTCACTAGTGGCCATCCAGCCTTCAAAGGTTTTCAAAGAGGGCCGAGGCAGCCCATTCCACTTGGAAACCTCTCTCCTTGCTTCTTTCTAGGAGAGCGCACATTTATCTCTCCGGCAGCTTCACCTCATTGCTCCGAGCCAAGCAGAAGACGTCTAACGGCTCTTCCCCAGGAGAGCCTTTCTCATCACTGAACACCACTCTCATGTCCCAACCTGAATTTTCTCTTCTCCAGCTAAATAGCCCCACTTCCTTCAGTTGACATTCCATGACATTCAATCCACATTCCATGATAGATAGCTCTCATGGTTGGAAACTTCCTCCTGGCATCCAGCCTAACTCTTCCTCTCTGACCCTGCCTACTCACTCAATTGCTCCTGCTTCTACCCTCTACACCAAGCAGAATAATCCTTTCAAGGACCAGCCCTGGACCAGCCAGCCCTTTGGAAGAATCATAGGAAAATCCATACTGCCACATAAACAGAGCAGAAGACCAAAGATTTAGGTACAGAAGGCGCCTGAGAGGCCATCATTTCCAATGCCCTCACTTTATGGGGGAGAAAAGTTGATGATAAGTTGGTGTGACATGTCCAGGGTCACCCAGCTAGCAAGTATCTGAGATGGGATTTGAATCCAGGATGTCCTCAATCCAAATCTAGTATTCTATCCACTATACCAAAGGTGTTAAACTCACAGTCTGCAGAAACAATCCCTCCACTCTCTGGGTGCTGCCCAAATGAGATTAAAGCGTGATTGGGCAATATTTGACAAAAGAAAGAAAAACCCATAGAGCCTAGATAATGCTGACACCATAGATAAGGGTGACATGGGCTTTTCTGGGTCCATCTGCTGGCAGGAGTCTTTATGTATGGGTCCCGTAACGTTCTACTTGAGTTTGCCATCCTTGCCTTAGCCTGTCTGCCTGGCGGAGGTCCCCTGCCCCATCTTGAGCGGTGACTATGCCAATGGATCGCGAGGAGTGGCCACAGCCCTCTCCAGTGCTCCCACAGTTCCAGCTGCATGGGATTACTGGGAAATGGAACAACATGCGGCACCCCTGTAGTCTTTAAGTGAATTTCTTCTTCCCTCTGCCTCTTTCACCAGAGCTGTCCTGGAAGAAGATCCCTTGAGTCGTATGAAGCAGGTTGTTAGATGGTATCTGTCTGGCTTCTACAAGAAACCGAAGGTGAGAAAGAAGAGCCACAGGGCGATTAGAGCCAGCGAACAGGGCAATCTGATTACAACCAAGACCTCGGTGCAGCTAAAGCCTTGCTTCCCACTCCCACCACCCACCCCCACCCTAAAACTAGACCACTGGTATCACAAGAGGATCCACCCTGGTGGCACATCCCATGTACCCTAGAGTAAAGCTGCCTCCCTGGGAGTGTATCAGGCTAGGAGGTGACTTACACTTTCCTCATTTTCCTGATAAGGTGACCCATTAAGCCTTAAAGCCCTCAAAGGGCCTTGGGGATGAGAGAGGAGAGCACCCTGTACTCTATGGGACTCCACAATGGGACGCTCTGAACTGGACCTTGACACCTTCCATCCCTTAGCCGGCTGGTGCAAAGATCAGAATGGCGACAACAGTCGGCATACCATAGCCCCGTAGGATGACAAATCTCGCGGGTCATTTACCTTGTTCCCCTCCAGAGAAGGAAGAAGACTTGAGGGTCCAGCCCCAACCCTTCCAGCTTTAAACCCTGTGACCCTAGCCTCCTTTGCCTTCATCCAGAGGAAATGGGTGGAGTAATAAGCAGTTAGGAAGGCTTCTGGTTTAGGATCTTCCCAGCAAACACCTGAAACTGGCAGTGGGCGGCCGTCCAAGGCGGCTCAGAGCACCCTGGGTTCAGGCCTGCTCTGGGGAAGGGAAACCAAGCTTCCTCTTCCTCTTCCAGGGAATCAAGAAGCCTTACAATCCCATCCTTGGAGAGACCTTCCGCTGCTGCTGGTACCACCCGCACACCGACAGCCATACCTTCTACATCGCTGAACAGGCAAGTCCCTGCCCCACTTTCCCCCTAAAACCTCAGTTCTTGAAGCGGCTTGACCCGGAAGCAGGCTTCAGCGCTGGCTTGCAGGCTACTGCCAGAGCCCAGCTGAAGGAAGAGTGGCTTGGAAATGAGACCTTCCCTCCCCACCCTAGCTGTGGAGGACAAGCAGTGCCTTCCCTTCTCCCTTCATGGAGTCTGCCTGGGCACAAAACAATCACACGCCTGCCAAATCTCCCTCTAGCCATCAGACAGAGAGAGTGCAGGCCACAAACCACCTGAAAATGAGATTTCTTTTCCGAGGGAGATTGGCCTCTAATTCCGTTCCAGCCTGAGACCCTGAACGGGTGCCAAGAGCCAGCTCCTTTAACCCTCTCTGTTTCTGGGTGCTAAGTGGGAGCAGAGAACCTCAGCCTAGGGACAGTGCCCCCCAAGCTCACTGTTCACCAGACTTGACGTGTGGGGTCCAGCCCTTGGAGTTCTCATTGTTTGTTTTGAAGACAGGACAGATGTCCTGGGCTGTGACCATGTTTTCCTCTCCCTCTCCTCACAACCCCTGCCAGTCTGGCCCTGTGGCCAAGACAACTGTCTAGGGTCAGGCTGAGGGAAGGGCATCCTGAGGGAATGTCCTGGGGGCTTGGTAGCTCCCGACTATTGGGCAAGGTGCCAGCAGGGGTAGAGGGTTCCCCAGGCCCAGACCAAGGCAAGGAAGGAGCTGCCTTACTGCCCTCCCAGACTGCCCTGGCCCCTCCCATCTGGGAGCAAAGGCTTGTGGGGACACTCAGCCCTCAGGGTGCTTCTGGTAGGTCCTCCCAGCGACATTTATATAAGTGAAAGAAGGCCTGGGGGCAGCTAGGTGGCACAGTGGATAGAGCACCGGCCCTGGAGTCAGGAGGACCTGAGTTCAAATGCGGCCTCAGACCAATCACTTGATACTTACTAGCTGTGTAACCCTGGGCAAGTCACTTAACCCCAATTGCCTTAAAGAAAAAAAAAAGGCCTAAAAGGGAGAATAGTTAACTTAAAGGAATTCGATTTTGCTCACATTAATTAAATACCTACCATGTGGAAGACATTGCTTGTACCAAGGGTACAAAGAACAAAAAGAGCCCCATCTCTATCCTTCAGCTTACAGTCTAATAGGGAGCGATGATTAGCCCTGGGACCTGGGAGGGAGAGAATTTCTTCCATCCCTCACAGAGGGCCCACATGGGCAGCAGGAATGGAGGCAGAGCCTCGGAGCTTGGCCCTGTCAGGGAGGGACCCTGGAAGGGCAGAACTCCAGGCAGGCTTGGCCCCGAGCTCCCAGGAGACAGGAGCAGCCCTGAGCCCGGCCCCAGCCAGGCTTCCAAGACCCAAAAGGACTTTCATCCAAATTGCTGTTCTGCCTTACAGGTCTCCCATCATCCCCCTGTGTCTGCTTTCCATGTAAGCAATAGGAAGGATGGCTTCTGCATCACTGGGAGCATCCTAGCTAAGTCCAAATTCTATGGTAAGGCCAGGGATGGGGTTGGGGGTGGGGTGGGCAGGGGAGGAAACTTTACCCAAGCAACTGTCAATCAATCAACCAACATAGTTTAAGCACCTACTAAGTGCCAGGCTGCTGTGCTAAGTACTGGGAAGACAAAAAGAGGCAAAGGCCAGGCCCTGCCCTAAAGGAGCTTACAATGTAAGAGAAGTCACTAGTCTGCACTGCGAAGCGAGTTCCCTTGCTGGAAATCCCCTTACCACTTAAATCACGGGTGCAGACTTTGATAATAATAATAATTTTGCATTTACTTATCTGTGTATATGTTAGTTCTCCTCAGTAGACTGCAAGCTCACTGAGGTCAGGGCTTTTGTTTAATTTACTTTTTTGTTGTGATTGCAACAACCACTAAAGTCTCAGGACCTGATAGAGAAAGGGCAGAGCATTCACTGAACCAGAAATGTTGACTGTCTGGCATGTACAGTGGTGGGTTTCAGGAACATAGATGTTAAGTGAACCTGGTGGTCAATGCTCCCTTCGGCCCCTCCCTGTCTCTCCTGTATATCCCCCCCACCCCCATCTCTCACTCTCCACCGGGCTGCCTTCACCTCTCCCCATGCAGAATCCTTCCCTTATAATAAGCATGTATAGTCACTCGAAACAAATCAAGCTGTGGGCCACATCTGGGGGTGCAGGTCTGACCCGTCTCCCCTGCTAGTACAGAGCACAGGCCATTGAATAAATGCTTGTGACTGAACAGTGCTGTCCGCTGCTCAGGGCCTGTGGCCCAGGGTGTCAGTGAGGAACTCCTGAGGCCAGTCCTGGCTCCCTTCTCTCTACCCCTCCCCCCCAGACCCCCCTTCCTTTTTGCATTCATTCTTTACAGCTTTGGGTCCTGAGGGGATAAAAAGAGGTATGGTGGTCAGCCTAGACCCACCCAACCCTCAGGGAGCCCTCAGTGACCATGATCTGGTCCATGGCATCTCACCCAACTCACAGCTGGAAGATCGTCTAATCCAATGTCCCCATTGTACAATGGGAAAGCAGAAGTTCAGATGTGGGAAGGGAATTGTCCGTGACCACCTGCCAGTGGTGGCAGAGCCCAGATCTAAGCCCAGGTCCTCCGGCCCCAAACACCACGTAGAGGGAACAGGACAAAAAGAGACTCAAAATTAAATAACACGGCAAGTTAAGTAACATGAAACAGAAAATTAATTCGTATCTGTAAAACATCTTGAGGGTTCCTGAGGTTTTCTTACCTCCCCTCTGCAGGGAGCTGGCCATGGTATCCTCCTCTCTAGGCGCCACTCTCTGGTTACCTAGCCAGCACACAGGAGACAAAGATCTGAGCCCCGGGTCCCTGGCTCCAGGTCCCAGGACACACTGGTTATGGATGTTCCTCCTCCCCTTTCCTATTTTCTTTAAGACACTTTTCATTACACTTGCCAAAAAAAAAAAGGAGACAAAATTGTCCATATTTGCTGATGATAGTTTATTTTGAAAACCCTTTGAGGATCAGCAAGGACACTTTCCATTCCTCCTGCTGACTTTCAATTGAAGCAATAAAATAAGACAAGATTCATAGACAGAAGGGAATTTCAGCCATCATCCCGCCCAGCTCCCTCATGTCACGGGAACCAAGGTGTGCAGAGGGAAGGGACTTTTCTGTGGACAAACACAGAGCAGTTGCCAAGGCAGCGATGGCCAGGGATGCCTTAGAGCCACGGTGTCCGATCCCTACCTGAACCAGGATTCCCTCCATTACATCTGAGTGCTGTTCCAGCATCTGCTCAAAGACCCAGGGGCAGGGAGACTTCCGCTCCCTGAGAGACCCCCCACCCCCATCCCACTTTGGAACAGTACCTCAGACCTAACTCCGCCTCCTACATCTAACTCCACCTGCAGCGCCTGGCTCTGTCCTCCAGGGCCAAGTGGAAGAAAGCTAATCCCTCTCCCACAAATATCTGAGATCGTCTCCCACATCTCCGCCAGGTTACTCATCCCCGGTTCCTTCCGCTGATTCTGGTAACGGCGCGATGCCTCAGCTGCTCCCCCAGAGCCGTGTCCCGCCCTTGGAGCCGCAGTGCTACTTAGGAAGCCCCATTGGCCTCCTTGGGTCGGGCTCCCCCATTCACTTGGCTTGTAGCCGGCCTTCGGCTGCCTTTGTAGAGTCATCTGAACCCGAGGGTCTTGTCAGCGGCTCCTTCCTCACATCGTTGTTGCCTGTGAAGTTCTGGCAAATACACAGTGCTATTTCCCCTCCTGCTGGTAGCTTCTCTTAACCCTATGAGCTCCCCGGGTCTTACAGGTGGCTTGTGTCACCTGCTTCCCTCTCCACTTAAAATCCTTGTGATTAGATTTGCAAGACTCCACGAAAATCAGTGTGGGGTGAATCCTGCGGGCCCTGAGAAGGGAAGGTTCACTGGGAACTAGCATGATCAGGGAGGGCTCCTCCATGCCCCAGGATGCTTACATACACACTCGCATGCATGCCTACATGTGCATATGCATGCATACACTTACATGCACACAGAGGTCTGCAAAGAGTAAGGAACCCAGATCCAGAAATGTAAGGAACCTCCTGGCCGGAAGAGACCTGAGCAGCCGTCTCATCCCCCACGGCTGAGTAGCATCCAGCATGGACATTTGTGTTTTTGACAGGCCGGTGAATACAGCGGCCTGTGAAACAGATAGCTTTGAAAGCTGAATGGAATCTAGCGGGGTTTTTGCAGCCAGTATAGACACAGACTTAACCAGATCCCTCCCTGGGGGTGGGGGAGGGGCAGGGGGGCTTGCAGTACATCTTGCTGCAGAGAGACTCTGAGAAATGGGGACATTATTTTGTGCCTCGGGCAGGGGTGGGGCGAGAGGAGGGAAGGTTAAAGATTTCTCCTTCCATGTTCTGTTCTCACAGCGCAGCCATCCTGTCTTCATACTGAAAATAAGCCATGACCCAACGTATCCCACTATTACGCACACCTGTCACACTTACCTCACTTGTGTCTCTAGAAAAAAAGCTGATTTAGAGCTATTTCTGGAAGGGGTGGGGGGAGGCCAACCCTGGAAGGCATCTGTCCGGCAGTCTGGATGGCCGGCTGTCTGGCCAGCTGCCTCTTTCATTGACCATCATCTTTCTTTGTGGCTACAGGAAATTCCCTCTCAGCCTTACTTGACGGCAAAGCCACCCTGACATTTCTAAGTAGAGGGGAAGATTACATCATTACAATGCCCTATGCACATTGCAAAGGTAAGTGAACTCACCCCTTTCCAGGATGGATCCCAGGGGAAACCTTCATCCACCGCCCAGAGTTGGGAGGAGGGCACTCTGAATACCTGGCCAAGAAGCGTTCACTGAGCAGCCACATGTTCATCCCTGCACTCAGAGGTGTCGGGGAGACGGGAGAAAGGAGCCCCGGCCCCTGTCAATGAGCAGCTGCCCAAGTGGGGAAGGTGAACCTCAGAGCATGGTGGAGTAGTGAACTTACCATCACTAAAGGTCTCCAAGCCCCATATGGATGACTTCCCAATGGGCCATGCAATAGTGGGGATTCAGATGAAGGTTGAACCAAACAACTTCCAAGGTCCCTTCTGACCCCAAGAATCCATCATCCTGACCCGGTGCTCAAAGGAAAGAAAGATCCGCCTTATCTGGATTGATCAGAATCCTCTGGTAGGGGACACAGACTTCTGCTGGATCTTCCAGGGCAGGCTTTGGACAGGAGAAAGTGGTGGGAGGGCATTCACAGCAGAGGTCCCCGCATTAGCAAAGGCACAGAGACCGGACCGACTAACTCTGGCTGGATCAGGGCTCAAGCTGAACTCTCAGTAAGCCACGGATTGGCTAAAATCGTGCCCTCGGCACTATGGAGACAGGAGCTGGGAGCTTCATGGAGCTCCATGGGACAGAAGAGATGCCCTGAGACACGCGGTGATGATGACTGGGAGGGGCCAGGTCAGAACCCAGCTGCCTAAAGCCTGGGAGACTTGGGAGGGACCTGGGACCCCTGGGCTTTGAGCCCCCTGCTCCCCCATCAGGGACAAATGCCTTTTTTTTCTTTGCATCCATCCCCATCTTTAAATGCAACGCCCTCAGAGGCCACAAGGGGGCACCGTCAGCTCTCGGGCCCTTCAGAATGAATGTGCTGAGGGCATTGCATGAGTCTGTGGAGCGCTGCTTTCCCATCTTTTGTCTCAGGGTGTCTTTTCTGTCATTTCCCTACACACAAAGTCCTAGGGAACGGAAAGAGGTGGGGGCACGTGTAGCTAAATCAAGGTCCTTGGTCTGAGGTCCGAGTCTACAGAGAACTCAGCTAGATCCCAGCTTGGGCGGCCAGAAAACACAGTTTAAAAGCACTTGGGGGGGGGGGGGATGGGCACCACTAAGGCTCCTAGAGGAAGCCACTGAGACCACCCTGGGAAAAAGTCAACACTTTTTCAGTGGATTCAGGCAATATCCAAACACTTAGCTTCAGCTTGACCCAATCCACCATAAATAGTCTTAATCGATCAACAAGAATTTCTTAAGCACCAGCTGTGTGCCTGGTATACCAAGAAAAAAGTGGTAACAGCCCCTGCCCTCACGGGACTTCTCTTCTATCTAATCACCACTATCTCAGACAAGCCCCCACCAAATGTGTGTAAATACTCCTGGAGCCTCTGAGGAGTTGGAGCTGGAGACCTGGGCTGCCTTTCCGGGCTTCAAGGCCATTGAGGCAATCAGACATATCATGGCCTAGGCTCATGTCCCAGATGACACTCTCTATTTACTAGATGAGGCAAGAGTCGCCAATCTAGTAGCAAAAGCATTTAATTAGGGACAAAAAAAATCACGTAAATAGCAAGAAAGAATTGAGTAGACGAGTCATTCTTTGCCTACAAACCCGATGGGCGTGACTTCTACGCATCCAGAGGGGATCGAGGGAGAAGGCCATCCACCACCTCCAGAGGGAGTCGGAAAAGCATCCCTTAGCTCATGACTAGACAGGCGAGGGAGCTCTCAGTGAAGTCCAGCTTGGCGTATGCTTTCTGTTCAGGAATTTTGTACGGCACCATGACGATGGAGCTGGGTGGGAAAGTGACTATAGAGTGTGAGAAGAATAATTACCAAGCAGAATTGGAGTTTAAGCTCAAGGTAAGGACGTGCCTCACACGACCTCCTCAGCCCCGGAGGATGCTGGGGGTCCCTACACCACAACCTCCTTCTGGGAAAAGGCAGCCTTGCAGCCATGGGGGAAGGGGACCCACTGGATTGGGGTCCTTACAGCCTCCTGTGAGACTCTCTGGGTGACTCTGGGCCAGTCCCTTCTCCTCCATCAAACAAGGGCATGGCACTCTTAGGAAATGCTCTAGACGGCCCCACCCAACTCAGAGACTGGGATCCTTGGGCCATTTATGAGACCATGGGGAAACCTCTGAGCATCACGCACGGGGGCTGTCTCAGGACAGAGCCAGTCTGTTTGGTGTTTGTATCCCCAGAACCCAGCCGAAGAGGGCTGAATAAATGCTGACTATCTTAAATTGACCTTTCCTATTATGTCTGACAGTGTCAGAGCTGGGAGGGGCCTTAGAACAGAGAACATGGAGTGTCA